GTCGATTTTGAATATATACGTAACAGAACTAACAAGCAAGATATAGGTACATATGTATACTTACTCATGATATCCTGGCGAGCCTGGAGTGGGTTGAGGTTTGGGGTGGGGTGGGGTTGGGGTTGGTGGGTGCTAAAGAATTTTTTTTTATCATAAAAAAAATGCGTATTTTTCTACACTACTTGGTACTTCGTGTACCGAACAGTGGCATGAAGTCTATTTATCTTTACAAAAGGTTATGTACTTGACCTTGGAATGATGGCAGTTTAAGTCAAGTACTAAGTAGGTATTGTACTTGATGTATAGGTAGTATGTATCACTTGTAGAATCAACTACCTGAAGTAGTAGTATAAGAAGCTTAAGGGTGTGGAAGAGCTTGGTGGTATGCACAGAGTTTCAGGGTAATGTAAGTGTGTGTGAACGGTGGGTTTTGATAAGTAAGAAAGTTAATCGAAATGTTAACGAACAGACTTTTGCTTATATAGTAAGTGAATCAAAAGACATATGATAAGTGTATATAAATAAATAATCCTTCCCCCTTGGAAGAAAAAAATTAAAAAAAGCCGTTAATGAAATTATGGTAAGATGAGGAGATAAAGTAAAGATATAAAAAAATAGTGGGATATAGCCTAAGGGATTAACATATTAATTGCCAAAAAGAAGGAAAAGGAAGAAAATGAATAATATCAGCCTACACATCTTAGACCGTTACCAAGCTCACACTCACATCGTCCAGAAACACCAATCGATCCACCCCTCCACCTTCACACTCCACCCTCCACACCAGCTGCACTTGGGTTTCCTCCGCGCCCCCACCTGTCAACAGTCCTTCCACGGCCCTCCATACTCCGTTCTCCTCGAGCAGCCGTTTCCCCACTACCACTTCTGGCGTCCCCCATGGTCCACTAGCCTCCCGTCTTACAAGCATCACGGCTATGCTACATCTCGCTTGCTTGCCCCCCGCTACTGGAGTTGGCACCCTCACGAACGCGGTGAGCTTGTACTCGTTTTCGGGGCAGAGGGGACCAAGTTTTGTTGCGACCTCGAAGGCACCGAACGTGGGAGCATTTGAAAAGAGACGGAAGCGGAGGTTGTAGGGGCCGGAGTGGGTGGGATGGAGGGGCGTGGTGGTGGAGAGGCTTAGGGTAGAGAAGGGGGGAATGGTGAGGACGGTGAAGGGGTTGGGGGACGGCGGGTCGAATGTGGTGTTGAGTGGAGTGGGGGAGTGGGGACAAAGTGAGGGGGAGGGGGAGGGGGAAGTTGACGTATGGGAGGATGGCGTTGGGGTTGAGATGGGTAAATCGTCTTGTTCTATAGTTGAAGTGCTGATGGATGTCCAGGTGGGGATGTCACTGATTGTAGTAACACTGTTGGACTCAATGCTGCTACTAGTAATTTCAACCACTGGGGTAAACGTGTTGGGAAGTGTCGTAGCGTTTATCTCACTCTCGGTAGTGGTTTTCATCTGCACTTGAGTTTCCGTATCTATACTCGAGGCAAGGCTTGTCTCAGCTGATGGCAGCAAACTGGTATCGTTGTATTCAGCAGACGCTGTGACAGTTGTAAGTACCTCTGTCGTTGATACCGGCATCTGAACTGACTTCGTAACAGTGTAAGTGACCGTTTCCAGGGTTGTACTCTGGTTAGTTACTCTGGTACTGCAGTTGGCAGGGTCATAGACCGTCGCTGTCGTGGCATTATTTGTGGGCGGAGCTGTGAATATGATCGTCTGGCTGAGGGTTACAGTGGCTGGTGAAGGATCGCTACAAATTATAGATGCAGAGTAAGTGAATGTTTAGTCTCGAACCCTCCAATTTCCAAGTCTTGAGCACGGATATAGGAGTTACCCACGTCACCGGCACTATCATCGTAGCCTCCTCACTTCGCATCTGAGTACTTGTGGTAGTCATGGTAATCGCACTGTCCGTAGCAAACCTCCTTGTCTCACTTATCACTCTTGTGATAAGCACTGTAGTTGGCACAGTCAAGCGGGTCGTACTTATCTTGGTAGACCTCAAAGTTATAGTCTTCGTACTGACGACCGTGGTCCTGGGGACGTAAACATACTTTGTCTTTGTCGATGTCTTTGTCTTGGTCGCAATCGAGGCCCGCTCTTTCCACACCGTTAGAGTGATACTCTGATGTTTCGTCAAGGGGTCATTGATGCGTTTTGTAACAGTGGTTGTCTTCGTATTCTGTTCAGTAGTGGTAACTGGTACTGTAGTCGTCGTTGTCACAGTTCTGGTCGCCTTGTGCGTTCTGCTCATCGCATTCCCACATCGTCAGCATCTCTGTAACTAGAATCGCAACAAAACCACCTCACTCACCTCCACTTCGTCTGTATTTTGACACTCCATCGCGTCACTATCTTAGTGACGCCGTTGCACACCTCTCGCCCATGACTCCTTTTGGAGCCGTATACATCTCGATCATGCTGGGCGTCACTGTTATCTGGATCCCACTTCCATCTGTCCGTTGACCACCCTATTCCCCTGTGATTCTGGCCTCTATCTCCAGCGCCTCCTGCATCGGCAGCTACGGAGGCGGCTGCCCAGACGAGCGTAACGAAAGTCACCAGCAGCGTACAGTGAAATTGCATTATGAAAAATGTGGTACCCAGCGCAAACAACCAAGCTTCAGTATGAAAGAGACTAACTGCAAAAAAGAAAGAATGGCCGCAAAAAAGCGTGCCCGAGAGAGTGCGTATCGTTACCAATGCCTGCAACGTTTGCGTTCATTGAACTGAGAGGCAGGGATTCCAACTTGTTGCGCTTTATACCTGCTGCTCTGAAAGCAATTACTTTGGGCTCTTTCTGCTCCAACCCAGGAGTGGCCCTTTGGGCATTGTATGGCCATAACGCTCTTCTTTGCCACATACATGCTCGATAAAGTCTCACCTTTGGGTAAGTTACACCAACTGTGCTCAGGGTAACTCGATTCCTATGGCGCGGTCAGAGAACGCGGGCGAAACATGGGGATGTATCAAAGAGGCTTCCTGCATATCCACAAATAAACAATGCTTACATCTCGGCCCCAGGCATATACGTACCACTAGGCCTTACGCGTGATCGGCCCCTTGACCTCCCAGCCTTGAGCTACCGGGAAACTGCATTTGGTGAAGGCGAATGGCATTCCAGCTTCGAATTCGACTTTATTGACAACTGCCGCCTAAGGTGACTGTAGAAACGCTCGGGCCTTAACATATGAGGATCAGCGGTAAACTCATTGCTGCGGCTCCAGGTACTGTTGGCACCCGTCGGAGGCGGTTTATATCAAGTTTTGTTTCGTTTTAAGTCAGTGGTGTGATAGTGAATGAAAGGTAAATAGCTTTATTCTAGATCACTGTGGTCTGCACGGAATTGAGGGAGTCATAGTATGGTCAAGGGAATCAGGGCAATGCATGGACCCTTTTAAGAGATGTCCCCTGGTTCCTAACTGCATTACTTGCGGATGCCTAGCGGATCAATAATGCCCAAACTTTGAACTCGAATAGTCTCAGCCGGCGTGAGACAGGTTTGTGCCTTCACACAGGCAATGCAACTCAATTGTACGATGTTCATACAATAGCACCCAAGCTCTGATATTGCTATTTGGTAGAACGGTCCCATTTTGTGAGACACGCACACTTATGCACAGCCATTGCCCCTCTCTAGGAAGATCTATCTACTTTTGCTGACTATTACGTGGAGCCGTGGCTGTAGATGATCTATGGACTGTACATGTTCACACCAAGATTCGTAGTTTAACACCATATTCCAAAAGCCATCTGTAAATTGGATCTTACGACTGACCGTACTATGATCTGAATAAGATTGCTCTAGGTTTATAGCTAAAGTAGGAACTTGGTGACTCGTGAATTACAGTCACTGGGATCTGAGCACCTCGCAGCGACAGAGTTGACATGAACAAAAATTGACATATCTCACCAACAAGAGACCCAATTGACCTACAACTTGATCTAATAATAGTATAGATGATGCTGAATATATCACAATACAGCAATAGAGTAGTGGAAGCATTTTGGTATTCAATAGCTAGAGTCTCTTATTGAAGCCTATAGATCCAGCACTTATATATCATATGATTTTGATGAACTATAATTTTTCCTACTACAATTAGAGAGCCAATGGGGCTTTTGTTAATAGTCTGGTCACGAGAACAGCTTTTTTCTATGATAGACATGACTGCAAACTTTATGGTTTTGATTGTAGAAGAGCCATTGAGGACCTCCACCTATTTGTGAAAAAATGAACTTTGAGGAATGCCAAGACTGCCATTTTCCCATACAAAATGGCTATTTTGACGCTTAAAAGTGGTATCTGAAAATAGCTTACCACAACGCCCGGTAAAAAATAATAAAAATATGTGGTAGAGTTTATTGATCAAGTATTTTCATAGTAGAAACTATTGACCTCCAAAAAAATTTCCTGCAAGAGAATTGCTCTTTTGAAAAGTGTAACTTTTGTCCAAAAACGCATTATCTACTTCTTTACTAAGCCTCTAGATTAGCTACCATTGTTACTGCAACTATCGCCTTATGCAAAACAACAGCAAACATAACTCTACAACTTGCAGGTATAAATGTTGAAATTCATCTGCTGGTTGTGGAGATATGAGCGTTGGAATCTCTTCTGGTACAAATTCGAGGTGCCAAGAAAATATGTTTTACCAAGACTTTTGTCCAGTGACTGTCCTTGGTTGGTCTAACGTACGATAACTCTCACTAACATGAAGGCATTCTTACAGCTCACGTTGACCAGGTCTTGAGGATGCCTTCGAGGATGCGTTATTTCAGCGTAGCGAGAATCAACACATGGTGCTATCACCTGGTCTCTTATCCCTCGTTTTATTCCATGAACCCAAATTTGCTCAAGCATAATATCACATATGTAGCTATCAACAAAGTACTTTACTAAGAAAGAAAGGTGACGCGAGCGCTCGGTAGTATGACCGCTAGTGATACCGTTTGTTTAATTTGGTTACAGCTTTTGTATCAATTCGGGCAAGTGGTCTAGGGGTATGATTTCTCATTCGCATTAACTTGCGCAACAAAAACTTTGAGAAGGTCCGGGGTTCAATTCCCCGCTTGTCCAAAATTTTTGATTTTTATAGCCATAGATTAATTCTCCTATGTTGGAAATCAGTCCAGTTTGATATTATACGAGACTGATCATGCTTATTTCAGCGGAGAAAAGCAGATTAAGAATCAATGTTAGCATGCGGTAGGGGGATATTCCGCAACCGCAAAACGTGAGCAGAAAAAGGCACTTCAATCAAAAAGCTAGATCACATTAGAGCAAAATCTATGGTATTCATGTAACGCATAGCCTCTTGAGACACTATGTAACGTATGATGCTATGAAGAGGCCTTGGCCCGCTTAGTTAGCCTCTGCCCACGGGCAAACTTAGCTAGCTACAATTTGTACTAGATAGATCCACATATAGTCCGTATCCACATATGTATATAGTACTGTGCACATATAAATATCATTATACACCAAGAATGTAATCAAGCATCAACTTCTTCATAACTTCTTTATCATAGTTAAATGAATTTGTACTTAATCTAATGTATACAGCATATGTAAAAATACTACTGTATAAGGAGTAGTTTAGTATATTAGTTCTATACTTATGCTAATGTTCATGTATAAAGTAAGGTCTGTATTAATTTCAAAGTTTCTGTAGGCTTGCTTCTCAGATAAATAGTTATCTTTACAGCCTAGATACTATTAACAATACTGCTGGGTGTTTGCCTTCAAGCATTGGGAGCTTCTGCTGTAACGGTGGTAAACGTAGAGAGTTACCGTCCGCCAGGCCAAAAGGACACTTAACTAGCGATACTCGCTAGTCCTCTACGTAGCTCATATAGCACCTACGCGATGCATCCACCGACCGCCCCACCTACGGTTGCGGTGAGCCCGTAACATCTACCTAGAAGCCTTACTATAGCAAATAGCTGGAAGTAGAGTTACATGATCTAAAAGAAGCCGACAAGTTAGATACTATTAATGAGCACATTAGATACTGCTAAGACGACCTTAGACACTGCTAACTAGACCTTAGACGCACGCTGCTAACTACACCTCAAGCGCTGCTAACCACACCTCAGATACTGTTGATTACCAGATTAGATGTTGCTGAAGAATAGGTTAAACACTATTGGTATATAGCCTTTTTTTTTTTTTTTTTTTTTTAATACTGTTGATGAACAAGTTAGACACCTTTAATGGTGCCGCCAGCTGTTATGACTATTCACTGACTTTACACCAAGGGGTAGAACTACTAGTGACTGCTAGTAGTATGTTCAGGATATAGAAGTATCCAGTAGCTGTCCAGCTGCTGGTACCAGGTCGCCGGTCACCTACAGCTTAGTAACCCGGTCTAGGTTTATTTCTTAGGTTTATGACATGCTTGCTAGTAGCTTACTCATACTGCGTATGTTACACTACTAGATAAATCCTTCCATGTGCCCTAAGTCCATAGCGTCCATGTACTATGGTGACTATGAACCATAGTAATAGATTCAGTGATGGTGGGCACGTACTATAGCTAGTAAGTCTGGGTCTGGTTACGAAATTTATATTATACCTGAGACTTGGATCTAAGAGGGCCAAGATAGCAGCTTCGGGGTAGTATGATACCAAGTCTACGAAGACGGCTTTAGCACTATCTTACTAGGAGGGTTGCTTAGATTCAAATTAGCCGACTAAAAAATACATAAGAATCAAGACCCTCGCTGCGCTCTGTTTGTTATTATTTTACGTCCCCGACGGTACCTGCTGCTTGTTATTATTTAATGTCCCCGACGGTGCCTGGCTATTGCACTTTTCCGGGACTGTACGCGATATAGGACTTACATAGGAAACGGGGTTACCCCCTCTAGGAAAGAAAAGCAGGAACAAAAACAAAAACAAAGAAAGAAAGAAAGAAATCCCACCAGCAATCCTTCCATCGTCCCCTTCCTCCTCTTCCACCCACCTACCCTTGGCCCTGCTTCCCAAAGTTGGCAGGCCGAATCCGCTCTGCTGCCCTCATGCAGAAATTCTGCGTCCTAAGCCACTCTTCTTTCCCAAACCAGATATCAAAACCCGTAGGTAACCCTGCCATGGCCACGTGCTACAAGCGGGGTTATGTGATTTAAAAAAAAAAAAAAAACCCGTAGGTACTACCCGCCCATTCCTACGCGTCCCATAAAGGCCTTCCTCTAGCCTCTCCCTCTTGAGCTTCCTGCATTTCCGCATGATATGGTCTCTCATCGCCGGCTTGTCCTTCCCACAGAGAGGGCATGCCACCCTCTTGCGAGAGATTTCCATAAATGCTCTCACTCCTTTGTTAGTCCAATGCCGCAGCCCTAGACCCCATGCCTCTGCTCCTAAGTGCTTCGTAAACTCTGCTCTATCCCGTGCCCTGACTTCTGCCACCGTAAGTTGGCCGGGTATCCCCTGCATCCTCCATCCTGGTTCTACTACTGCCCTCTTGGCCTATTTGTCTGCTCTCGGCTTTTCGCAGCAAGAGGGTCTTGGCGTGAGATTAGGTCGGTGAGAGGACGTGATATGGCGATGTAGTGCTACAATTTTGGTTATTGAGTGTGTCATTCAGGGAAGACTTTGCCGAAGTGACAAAGCAATAGAAAAGTAGGGATACTAGTAGGATGATTATTAGATAGTTCCTATCAATTCTTCCAGTCCCTCTCAACTCCAATCAGGTCAGGTTGCTTTCAGCTATATAAGCATGGCAGTGAAAATGATAGATTAGGATAGGATCTTGAAGAAAGAGGAACAGGAGGGATCTACTTCGAGTTTCTCAGTACTGTAGATCACTGTTTATACCCGGCCTGATTCATATTCCGGGTAGTGTTAGAGCGCTCTCAGTTTGGAAAATATAATATTCAAAAATTACTTCAGGTGACAAGCATCTCAATAAAATTACAGGCCCAAGTACCAAACAACTCTGCCAATTACTCTTCAACTCTAAAATCGATGTCAGATACTAAGTTGGCTGATAAGGTTCAGCGCTTAGTAATAGCAGCTTGGCCTCATTGCATGGGACCGCCAACGCGCCTAGCGGAGTTTAGGAAAAAGGTTGGACTCCGCCAGGAGCGGTCAGCGTCTGGTTACGAGACTAATGTATTCTCTAATCTTAACATAACTATACTTCGCGGCTAGTCATGAATAAACTTTCCCAGCAGTGAGTAATATGGAGATTATTTACACGAACTTGTGGGGCGATTTAGGTATTGCAAGGAGCCTGGGCTTGCTCTGATCAGAATACAATGGTATTCAAGAGACTCTTATTAGATAGCTTGCAGTACGAAACCTGGTCTCGTCAAACTCAAATACTCTGTGGGTGTCTGTCCAGCCTAGATGATCCTGCCTATTGCCTAGTATGCCCTCTTCGAGAGGTATGTAGAAACTCTGCGTTTTACAAGCCCAATTAACTCCGACAAAAGTCCGGGTCCACTAAACCAATTGACACGAAGCGATCTGACGTTATTTTGCTGTCGAACTAGGTCTGACTAAGTGGCACAAATTGACCAGACTGACATCGAACTGAAGCGTTGGCCTTGGCCAGGTTCGAGGGATTGGAGAGCGAGCCTCGAGGTGGCCGCAGGAGATTGCATACCCTATATGCTTAGTTCGAACGTTTCATGAGACTAAATATATCCTTGCCGTTGGCATGGAGGTGCTCACTGGTGACACCTGTTGACGGAATATACCAGAATTAGAGGCTGGTCTCATTAAGGATAGGACGTTGGCTACGAAGAATCAGAAACTTATTTTCATGAACGGCTGATTCTCTTGGAAACCACGGATGTTAGAAACCATAGTTCCTATTAGAATCTTAGAACGCTGTATTCCAGCTTTTACCCTCAACAGACGAAGACCCCTTGAGTAGAACAATCAAACATATCTCAGGTTGAAATGAGAAACACGCTATGGAATTTTGCACGGGATACTCCCACATACTTAAATGAACTGGGTGCAATTGTCAAGTTTCTTGTTCCCAGAGTATTCTTGCATTGTTATATATCAACGTGCTAGTTACACGGCTACATGTGCCCTGCCATGGCGAACAGCTACAAGCAGGGTCACGTGAAAAAAAAAAAAAAAAAACACGGCCACATGTATTGAATTTGGAAGCTATGTTATTACTTTGCATACTTCATGCTATTAGTTTCATGCAAACGCCTGTATGCGCTTTTTATGCAAGGAAGTTTTTTATATTATGTATACTATACACAGTGAATCTCTCGGAGCATTTTTATGTTTAGCATCGCTTTGAAGGTGTACTTTAAATCTAAGTACGTCTATGTTAAGGGCTCAGATTCGCGATCTATCATTTCATACTAACCTCGTAATTTTTGCCCATTGACCTCCAGAGTACGTACTTAAAAGTACTAACCTACCACCTACTTTCGTATATTGTATATTGAGCAAGTACTTACAGATTATGCATCTCAGCCATATGCAGAGTATATATGTTCTGGGCCACAGGCCTCCCATGAATTGCGAAATGTCTCTGTCCAGCCACTTTTTCTGACTAGATGTAGGTAGGGGCAAGCGACGCTAGCTATATTCTTGTATTTGAAGCCAATCTAGTATTACGTACAACCCATGCTCAGATCCATGCAAGGACAGATTGAAACCGTTGGAAAACAGATTGATCGATACTTCTCACCTCTACCCACTGGTATTGCCTCCTACTGCCTCACCTCACATCTCCTCGCCTCACCTCATATCGCCTCGCCCCGCATTGCCTCGCGTCACATCGGCTCGCTTCACACTCACGTATTTTCAAATTGACGACAATGTCCGATCACTCCTACGTGCCCGTGAAATCATTGCTGCTATGCCAGCTGCATATTTGAAAAGGCCAGAGAAGGGGGAAAGCTATGGGCTAAACCGAGTGCTGCGAGACCCCAATTACAAGCTTATGCATTTTCTCAAGGCTTCTTAATTCCGATAGCACGTGGCTCCATATTCAAGAACGTGATATTGCTGAAAATCACACTCGTGATGTTATCATTCCGCACTCACGGCTGAGAATGGCTGAAGCACCAGAAAGTTCACGGAGGAAAGTGACTGAAACG